CCGGGTGCCTGGTCTCACCTGCGGGGCTCCACAGCTTAACAAGTCCCCTCCCTCTGCCTTGCTTCAGTAGGTCATTACGACCTATTGGTTGGATGTGGGGGAGCCTGGGTACGGGAGATATTACCGCGATCTCCTGTTCGGCTCCATAGTCAGGCTCCTCCCCTCCACTACCACAGCAACTGGTGTTGTTGAGAAGCCCCTTTGTGGCCACGACTATAACCTTAACATGAAAAGGGGTGGACTTTCACCACCCGAATGATGAAGCCCTACTTATTTTCCCCTAAAGCCAGACACTGGTACAAAAAAATGTCTCTACGTTTTATTTCAGTTGGCTCTGTACAAAGCTTTTGTGCTTTACAAAAGCAACTGGAAGAAGTGGATCCTTTTTAAAATTTTAGGAAGAGATAATCACAGCCCTTTTGTATCCAGAAGGTGCTGTGGTCCAAAAAACACCGCCGACTCAGATGCAGTGAGTTGGCTACATGAGAGGCATTTTCCTGATGCCATTCCTGGTACCCCAACCCAAAAGTCAAAAATATGTTGCGTCTGTAGCAGACACAGAATTATATGTTAAATATCAAGATATTGGATGAAGCGCTCTGCTATAATAATGCTAAAAAAACAAAATTTTATACACAAATGTAAAAGTGACTAATACTTAAATAATATATGTGCTAAAATTATATAAAAAAATTTCATATAAGACCAGTCTGCCCCCCAAATGGCTAAAACTGGTTATACATGTGCACACACCAGCAAAAATAGAAAGTGACCAGGTGCTTGGGTACATAAATAGTGTCTTAATAAATACAAAGGTTTTAAAATCACAGTGAAAGGTGCCAAGTGTTTAAATAACAATAAATATACATATAATAAAATCATGTGCAAAAAACATGCTATCACTCTTATCTGTGAAGAAAATATATATATATTAAAGTGCTTTTGCATTCAGATAGTGCTCAGACCAAAGTGTCACTCCAGTGAATCAATCCTAAATATCCAGAGTGCCTCCTCACCTCCAACATTCGACCCCTAGAGGTCACAAATCATTTATTTAAATGATATTCCAAAAAAGCGACATCAGGATATAACTTGCCCCACGACTCAAAATCTCAATATATACGATGCCTCAGCCATATGTCCATGGACCATGGAAGATTTAAGCACAAAGAGAGATCTCCATAGCGCAATATGTAGTTTTATTATAAAGAAAAGCAGATAGAAAACTCACATGTTCTCAGAAGTGTACAAGCAGTTTCCCCCATATCCTATGGGTGTAATAGGAAATCGTGTTTGCCGAAAACCGGAAATACGTCACCGGAAGTGCATCACCGAGCTCCACCCCCGGAAATTTCCGGTGGAGCTCGTGATGCACTTCCGGTGACGTATTTCCGGTTTTCGGCAAACACGATTTCCTATTACACCCATAGGATATGGGGAAACTGCTTGTACACTTCTGAGAACATGTGAGTTTTCTATCTGCTTTTCTTTATAATAAAACTACATATTGCGCTATGGAGATCTCTCTTTGTGCTTAAATCTTCCATGGTCCATGGACATATGGCTGAGGCATCGTATATATTGAGATTTTGAGTCGTGGGGCAAGTTATATCCTGATGTCGCTTTTTTTAGGAATATCATTTAAAATAAATGATTTGTGACCTCTAGGGGTCGAATGTTGGAGGTGAGGAGGCACTCTGGATATTTAGGATTGATTCACTGGAGTGACACTTTGGTCTGAGCACTATCTGAATGCAAAAGCACTTTAATAATATATATATTTTCTTCACAGAAGAGTGATAGCATGTTTTTTTATGCACATGATTATATTATATGTATATTTATTGTTATTTAAACACTTGCACCTTTCACTGTGATTTTAAAACCTTTGTATTTATTAAGACACTATTTATGTACCCAAGCACCTGGTCACTTTCTATTTTTGCTGTGTGTGCACATGTATAACCAGTTTTAGCCATTTGGGGGCAGACTGGTCTTATATGAAATTTTTTTATATAAATTTTAGCACATATATTATTTAAGTATTAGTCACTTTTACATTTGTGTATAAAATTTTGTTTTTTTAGCATTATTATAGCAGAGCGCTTCATCCAATAATCTTGATATTTAATTTATGTGTCCCATGGTATAGGGTGTAGATGATAGCAGCTAGTTATATATAAGGAGTCTGTGGAGCGCAGGTGGAAATATATATTTTTTATACAGAATTATATGTGACACTTTTTTTTGTCCCTCCTGTCCTGGCCAACTTGATATTTGCCTCAAGGACTTCTGTTGCTACCACACACTATTTGGAGTATTAGAATAGGGTACAGCTCGGCACAATCTAGGGTACACATTTACAGAGGGTCTCGAAAGATGTTAGATAGTCAGGAAACTGCTATCACATTTTAAGAAACCCTAAAATCACAGCCTGGAAAGTTTACAGTTTTTATAGGTTATAAAAAAAGTTTAAAAAAAAGTAAAAAAAAAACATAAAAAATTTAAAAAGTAACAAAAAATTTAGAAGCCAAAAAAATGTTGTCATTGTATTCAGTTAAAGTTTAGTTGTTACTGTGTTTTATTGTTAACCATTGTTTGCTTTGCAGGAATGCCATTCAGCTGCAGCACCAATCTGTTTATTATGACAGCAACAGGGTGTGCGTGGTGAGCCTGGGTGTGTCAGTGGGTGTGATCGTCCCTATGCATTGGCATATATATTTTTCTTTCTTCTTTCTTTCTTTCTTCTAGCACAGATTTAAAAAAAAAAAATGTTGCTTTTAGAGATGAGCGAAGTATTCAAAAATTCGATTCGACTGATTCGGCGAATTCGTGGAAAAATTTGTGATTCGAGTCGAATATATTCGCTGTGAATTTAACTTAAAAAAGGGTGTTTCTAGGCTTCAGAGAGACTTAATATTAGTGCAGAACACTGTACCTTTAATTTAAATGCCCTTGGAGTCTGCTGGGGAAGAGAAATAATACTGACAGTCAGTATGACATGCAGATGAGTGCCGTCGATCTTAGAATCACCGCACACTTCACTCATTTGGGCAGTCACGGGGCCAAAACCAGAGTGTGGAGCCACAGTGTGGCGGTGGAGGCAGCAGCAATGGGAAGGCCATACAGCACCCTATGACAAAAATGGAAACCACCAGCAGTGTGAGGAGACCTGAAAAGTGCACATGGCAGAGTGTGGCGATGGAGACAGCAGCAATGGGAGGCCGTACAGGGACCCATGAGAGACTCTGGACTTGGCAGCAGCATGAGAAGGCGGTATAGGGGCCCATGGCAGATTAGGGGCCTGGCAGCAGCTATGGGAGGCCCGTAATCTGCCAGCACCCTATGACAAAAAATGGAACACACCAGCAGTGTGAGGAGACGTGAAAGTGGCACATGTTTGGGGCATGATTCATGGCGGATTTAGTCAGTTGTGTCAGGAACTGGTGGTTTGAAATCCAGACTAATCCACGCCTGATTCATTTTCACAAACGTGAGTCTCTCCACACTTTGGGTGGACAGTCGTGTCCTCCGCGGAGTTGCAATACCTCCTGCCGCACTAAACACGCGCTCCGATGCCACGCTACTGGCCGGGCATGACAGCCTTTCAAGGGCAAATTCAGCTAGTTGGGGCCAAAGGTCAAGTTTCGTTGCCCAGTAGTCAAGGGATTGTCTACCTCGGTTGGCAGGGTGCTGTCCAAGTAGGCCTAAGCCTGTTGTTTGAGGTCCTGCTCCAGGTCCACCTGATGCTGCTGCTGCTGCGGCTGGTTAGTAGTTTCCTCACTGCGCTGTGAAGAAAGCTACTCATCATCGACTGCAGACTGAGGCAGCTGCTGCTGGTGGAGCTGCCACTGCTCCTACCACCCCCACCCCTCGCCTGCTGCCATGGCAGCGGAACGTGAGCGCACAGGGCCCACAGTGTCTGAGGATGGACGTTGGCGCAGACAGGCAGAGACCAGCTGACTACATAGGTGGTTTTTATAGTACGTTATTTTGGCCTCCCTCTCAGCAGGTGTGAAAAAGGCCACCATTTTTTGAACGGTAGCGAGGGTCCAACAAGGTGGACAGCCAAAAGTCATCCCTCTGTCTGGATGGTTATTATTCGGCTGTCGGTACGCAAGCAAGCGAGCATGCTATGGGCCATTTGTGCCAAGGAATGCGAGGGACTCCCTGCCTCCATCTCCACAGCATACTGCCACGGTGCGTCTGGGTCCTCTGTCTCCTCTTCCTCCTCCTCTACCAGATGCTCCTGCTCCTCCACTCCTGTCCGCTGAGTGGAAAAAAAGCCACCCATTTCATTCTACTCAATAATTCCTGAGCACCAATGTCCTCCTCTACCTCCTCCTCCTCTTCCTGTCCTGCCCCCACAGGGTCATGTGGCGTTGAGATCTGTGCGCCACGTCTACCGCACCCTGACCAGCCATTGTTAACAGCATTTGTTCCAGGACGTGCAACAGAGGAATGACGTCATTCATCCCCATAGTCCTGCCGACTCACGAATAGCGTGGCCTCCTCAAAGGGCCTGAGCAAGCGCAGGTGTCACGCATGAGCTGCCAATGGCTGACATCTAAGTTTACACAGGGAGTACCTTTTATCCGCTTTTAACATCAGGAAATCTGTGATGGCCTTTTGCTGTTCGTAAAGGCGGTCTAACATATGTAGGGTTGAATTCCACCTTGTTGCAACGTCACAGCATGAGGAGTCGGTAACGGGGGCCATGGCAGATTACGGGCCTGGCAGCAGCAATGGGAGGCCCGTAATCTGCAGCACCCTATGTCAAAAAATTCAACACACCAGCAGTGCGTGAGGAGACCTGAAAGTGGCACATGGCAGAGTGGTGGTGATTGGAAGACAGGTCAGCCAATGGGAAGGCCTACAGGGACCCATGAGAGACTCTGGACCTGTGCAGCAGCAATGAGAGAGCGGTATATAGGGTCCTATGGCAGATTAGGGGCCGGGCAAGCAGCGATAGGAGGCCCGTAAATCTGCCCGCACCCTATGTCAAAAAAATTCAACACATCCCAGCAGTGTGAAGAGAACATGAAAGTGGCACATGGCAGAGGGTGGCGATGGAGACAGCAGCAATGGTAGGCCGTTCAGGGACGCCATAACAGATTCTTGACTTTGGTAACAGCAGCATGAGTAGGCGTATAAAAATTAAGGGGCCTCTTTTGCAGATTAGGGGGCCTGGCAGCAGCTATGGGAGGCCCGTAAACGGCCAGCACCCTATTGACCAAAAATTGTACACACAGCAGTGTTTGAGTGAGACCTGAAAGTGGCACATGGCAGAGTGTGTCGATGGAGACAGCACAATGGAGGCCGTACAGGGACCCATGACAGACTCTGGACCTGCAGCAGCATGAGAGGCGGTATATCGGGGCCCATGGCAGATTATGGGGCCTGGCAGCAGCTATAGGAGGCTAGGCCGTAATCTGCCAGCACCCGATGTCAAAAAATTCACACCACCGAGCAGTGTTTGAGGAGACCTTAAAGTGGCCATGGCAAGTGTGGCGATGAGACAGCAGCAATGGGAAGGCCGTACAGGGACCCAATGAACAGAACTCTGGACTTGCAGCAGCATGAGGAGGCCGGAAAATAGGGCCATGGCAGATTAGGGCCTGGCAGCAGCTATGGGAGGCCCGTAATCTGCCACCCC